TCCGGGAAGATCCCACATGCTGCAGAGTGGCTGGGCCCGTGAGCCGTGGCCGCTGAGCGTGCGCGTCCGGAGCCTTTGCTCCGCAACCGGAGAGGCCACAACAGTGAGAGGTCCGCGTACCGCAAAAAACAACAACAACAACAACAAAAAACTAAAAGCTGGTTCTGAGAAGATAAACAAAATTGATAAACCATTAGCCAGACTCATCAAGAAAAAGAGGGAGAGGACTCAAATCAATAAAATTAGAAATGAAAAAGGAGAAGTTACAACAGACACCGCAGAAATAAAAAGCATCCTAAGAGACTACTACAAGCAACTCTATGCCAATAAAATGGACAACCTGGAAGAAATGGACAAATTCTTAGAAAGGTAAAACCTTCCAAGACTGAACCAGGAAGAAACAGAAAATATGAACAGACCAATCACAAGTAATGAAATTGAAACTGTGATTAAAAATCTTCCAACAAACAAAAGTTCAGGACCAGATGGCTTCACAGGTGAATTCTATCAAACATTTAGAGAAGAGCTAACCCCCATCCTTCTCAAACTCTTCCAAAAATTGCAGAGAAAGGAACACTCCCAAACTCATTCTATGAGGCCACCATCACCCCGATACCAAAACCAGACAAAGATACTACAAAAAAAGAAAATTACAGACCAATATCACTGATGAATACAGATGCAAAAATCCTCAACAAAATACTAGCAAACAGAATCCAACAACACATTAAAAGGATCATACACCATGATCAAGTGGGATTTATCCCAGGGATGCAAGGATTCTTCAATATACGCAAATCAATCGATGTGATACACCATATTAACAAATTGAAGAATACAAACCATATGATCATCTCAATAGATGCAGAAAAAGCTTTTGACAAAATTCAACACCAATTTATGAAAAAACTCTCCAGAAAGTGGGCATAAAGGGAACCTAGCTTAACATAATAAAGGCCATAGACGACAAACCCACAGCAAACATCATTCTCAATGGTGAAAAACTGAAAGCATTTCCTCTAAGATCAGGAACGAGACAAGGATGTCCACTCTCACCACTATGATTCAACATAGTTTTGGAAGTCCTAGCCACGGCAATCAGAGAAGAAAAAGAAATAAAAGGATTACAAATGGGGAAAGAAGAAGTAAAACTGTCACTGTCTGCAGATGACATGATACTATACATAGAGAATCCTAAAAATGCCACCAGAAAACTACTAGAGCTAATCAATGAATTTGGTAAAGTTGCAGGATACAAAATTAATGCACAGAAATCTCTTGCATTCCTATACACTAATGATGAAAAATATGAAAGAGAAATTAAGGAAACACTCCCATTTACCACTGCAACAAAAAGAATAAAATACCTAGGAATAAGCCTACCTAGGGAGACAAAAGACCTGTATGCAGAAAACTGTAAGACGCTGATGAAAGAAATTAAAGATGATACCAACAGATGGAGAGATATACCATGTTCTTAGATTGGAAGAATTAATATTGTGAAAATGACTATACTGCCCAAAGCAATCTACAGATTCAGTGCAATCCTTATCAAATTACCAATGGTATTTTTTAAGGAACTAGAACAAATCATTTTAAAATTTGTACGGAGACACAAAAGACCCCAAATAGCCAAAGCAGTCTTGAGGGATAAAAACTGGAGGAATCAGACTCCCTGACTTCAGACTATACTACAAAGCTACAGTAATCAAGACAATATGGTACTGGCACAAAAACAGAAACATAGATCAAAGGAACAAGATAGAAAGCCCAGAGATAAACCCACGCACCTATGGCTAACTCATCTATGACAAAGGAGGCAAAGATATACGATGAAGAAAAGACAGTCTCTTCAATAAATGGTGCTGGGAAAACTGGACAGCTACATGTAAAAGAATGAAATTAGAACACTCCCTAACACCATACACAAAAATAAACTCAAAATAGATTTGAGACCTAAATGTAAGACCGGACACTATAAAACTCTTAGAGGAAAACATAGGAAGAACACTCTTTGACATAAATCACAGCAAGATCTTTTTTGATCCACCTCCTAGAGTAATGGAAATAAAAACAAAAACAAACAAATGGGACCTAATGAAACTTAAAAGCTTTTGCACAGCAAAGGAAACCATAAAGAAGATGAAAAGACAACCCTCAGAACGGGAGAAAATATTTGCAAATCAATCAATGGACAAAGGATTAATCTCCGAAATATATAAACAGCTCATGCAACTCAATATTAAAGAAACAAACAACCCAATCCAAAAATGGGCAGAAGACCTAAACAGACATTTCTCCAAAGAAGACATACAGATGGCCAAGAAGCACATGAAAAGCTGCTCAACATCACTCATTATTAGAGAAATGCAAATCAAAACTATAATAAGGTATCACCTCACACCAGTTAGAATGGGCATCATCAGAAAATCTACAAACAACAGATGCTGGAGAGGGTGTGGAGAAAAGGGAACCCTCCTGCACTGTTGGTGGGAATGTAAATTGATACAGCCACTATGGAGAACAGTATGGAGGTTCCTTATAAAACTAAAAATAGAATTACCATATGATCCAACAATCCCACTACTGGGCATATACCCAGAGAAAACCATAATTCAAAAAGACACATGCACCCCAATGTTCATTGCAGCACTATGTACAATAGCCAGGTCATGGAAGCAACCTAAATGCCCATTGACAGATGATGGATAAAGACATGGTACATATATACAATGGAATATTACTCAGCCATAAAAAGGAACAAAACTGAGTCATTTGTTGAGACATGGATGGATCTAGAGACTGTCATACAGAATGAAGTAAGTCAGAAAGAGAAAAACAAATATCGTATATTAACGTGTGTATGTGGAACGCATGCATGTGGAACCATAGAAAAATGGTACAGATGAACCAGTTTGCAAGGCAGAAGTTGAGACACAGATGTAGAGAACAAACATGTGGACACCAAGGGGTGAAAACCGTGGTGGAGTGGGGTGGGGATGGTGGTGTGCTGAATTGGGTGATTGGGACTGACATGTATACAATGATGTGTATAAAATTGATGACTAATAAGAACCTGCAGTATAAAAAAACAAACAAAAAAAGAAAAACAACTAATACTAAACTTTCTTTGGGTTATTTGTATGGAAATATGTTAATATAAATGTTTCAGACATTACAAAAAAAAAAAATCCAAGGCTTAGGGTTAGCAATTGCCTTGAAATTTTCCAGAATGTAGGAAATTTTATAGAACAAATGATCCAGATTCTTCAACAATGGCAAGAAAAAAGAGAGAGATAAGGGAGTCTTAAGATTAAAAGACTTAAGTAAGACATAGCAAACCAAAAAGTTGAACTTTGTATGGATGTTAATTTTCCAACCAATTATTAAAAAAAAAAAATTATTGAGACAGCTGGAGAAATTTGAACACTGGCTAGATATCTGATCATATAAAGTGAATTGTTGGGTTTAGGTATGATATTGGTGTTTTGGTTATGCAACAGAGAGTTACATCCTTTAGAACACGCACTAAACTACTTTCCAGAGGAAGTAGTGTGTTTGAGACTTACTGTAAAACCATCTGGAGGAAGGGGTGCAGGTGGCAGCACAGATGAAATGGAACTGCCATGTGCGGATTCTTGAGGGAGCTGGGGAATGGGTGCCAAAAGGTACATCATGCTGTTCTCTCCACTTCCGTGTAGGTTTGAAATTTTACAAAAAGAATGGTAAACAAAAGCCAAAAAGAGAATTGAAAGGTAACTATAAACTATAAATTTCTGCCTCAAATATGATAAATGCTTAAGGTTCTTAATATTTAGAACTCATATAAGTTGATTTTTCAAAACACAAACTGGTAGAGATATGAACAAAGGGCAAAGAACATAGAATTTAGGAATTCCCTGGCGGCCCAGTGGTTAGGACACCATGCTTTCACTGCCAAGGGTGTGGATTCCATCCCTGCTCGGGGAATTAAAATAAGATCCCTGGTCGGGGAATTAAAATAAGATCCTGCAAGCTGTGCAGCATGGCCAAAAATTTTAAAAAAGGAAAAAAAAAAGTTAAAGAAAAAAAAGAACATACAATTCATAGAAGTGTGAACTGGTACAACTTCAGGATGCAAATCAAGAACCTTAAAGTTGGGACTTCTCTGGTGGTTCAGTGCATAAGACTCTGTACTCCCAATGCAGGGGGCCCAGGTTCGATCCCTGGTAGGGAACTAGATCCCACATGCATGCCACAACTAAGGAGCCAATGTGCTGCAACTAAAGAGCCGGCAGGCCACAACTAAGACCTGGTGCAACCAAAAAAAAAAAAAAAACAAAACAAAACCTTCAGGTTCTTTGACCAAGTAATTCCATTTGTAGGAATTTACCTCAAAGAAATAATCAAAAATACAGATAAGACGTACACAAAGTGATATTACTGCAGTGTTACTCGTGATAGTGAAAATACAGAAACTTAAATATTCACCAATAGGCATGTTTTTTCAATAAATTTTGGTATGGTTACATGTTGGAAGTATCCGATTTCATCTGTTCATCAAATATTTATTGAATACCTATTATGTGTCAAGGCAATACTTGCAGGTTTTAACACTGCAATGACTACAGTAACTACGTGTTAAAAATACCATATCAAATGAAAAAAATCAATATACATTTCTGTAAGGTTTTAATTTTTATCATAAGCATAGCAGGCATTCAGTTTATATTAATGAATTAACTAAAGTATTTTGCAGTTGGAAGAAACAAATTTTTTTTAACCTAAGAAATTATATCTATATTAGCCCAATTTAGGGTGAGGATCACACACACACACACACACACACACACACACACACACACACACAGGTAAAAAAGAAATATAAAACACTAACAGTGGTTATCTCTAGGTAAGAGGATGACAAGCGGTAATAAGCAGGTATTATTTTTAAATCACAAAACAGTTTTGCTTTCAATGTTCTTCATTTCAAAGACAGAGTCTTCTTGAAGTCCCCTCACCTCAGAAGTGGCCCGGATGATCCCCGAGATGAGGCCGCACAGCTGGTTGCCTCGGGTCCGGAAGGCAGACAGGTCGACCCTGGGCAGGTCTCTGCGCTGGTCGGTGGCGTCCAGCTGCTGGCTGAGGTGCAGCACCTCCTCCTGCAGCGCGTAGAGGTTCCGCAGGCGGATCTGGCCTTCTTCCTTCCGGAGCCGCTCCCGCTCCACATGCTTCAGGCGCTGCTGCTCTGCCTCCCGCAGCTTGAGGTTGAGAATCTACAGGAAGGGCGGTCAAATTAAGGGCTCCTGGGCCTTCTCTCTACATTCTTCCAGTCCTGTGTGGGCTACCTATTTTCACAGAGAGGCCCAGAGCGACAAAAGGACTGCCCCAAGTCAGCCACACAGTGGCATGACAGGGGCCAGGTCCTCTGTGACTGTGCTGGAACCCGACTCCTCAGGCACGTCACTCAGACACTGAACACCCACACGGACTCTCCCAAGCTCTGACCTTCGCTCTGTGATGATGCTCAGCTTTCAGCTTCTCTTGCTGCCCCAGGGCTTCTCTGGAGCTGAATGAAAAATGGAGGGAGGAAGAGTCAGGGATGCTTCCTAAAATTGTTTTACCTCTCCTAAAAGCCTCCTCTCTGCGTTGCACTGCTCGTCTTTCCAAGGTTGGTCATTTTTCTAGGTTATAAGCTTCTCTGGCTATTTTATTTTGATATTTAAGGACTCAGAAGAAGTTCAACTCCTTCCCTTTGGGTTTTATGTAGGGAAGGAGTTCCGGTGGACCACGCCGACGTACCCGTTGTAATTCAGGGAACTCACCTCTTCTCCATCACTTCCCGTAAGTCCTGGAATTCTTTATGATGCTTCAGTTCCTTCCGCTCATCAAAGCGCTTCAGCTGCTCAGATGCCATCTCAGAGAGGGCCCGCGCCTGGCTCTCCTGCTCCTCCTGCCACTGCCTCAAGCCCTCCTGCAAAGGATCAGCACCAGCTCTCTGCAGCTCCATTACACCCTGCTCATCTACCCCATGGGCTGCCCTCCCATCAGCCCTTAACTCCATCAAAGATATTTCAGGGCATGGAATCATCTGCCTACTTCTTGGAAACTTTGCTTGAGTCACCTCTCCGCTTTGGATTGATCTTTAAACTCAGCTGCTGTGGGAGGCTTTTCCAATTTGCCCCATATGGTTTATGTCACGCCAGTATAAGCTAAGAATGGACGGGTATTCACCAACATAGTATCAAATAGCCCTGCACTTTTAAGCTTCCACCCTTAAGCTTACTGTACTCTTTTTCTGTTTTGGCCACACTCTATAGTTTGTGGGATCTTAGTTCCCTGACTGGAGATCGAACCTGGGCCCTCGTCAGTGAAAGCGTGGAGTCCAGTAACCACTGGACCACCAGGGAATTTCCACCCTGTGTATTCTTATGAGAGCTTCAGGGTAATCTAAAGAAATCCTTATTCTAATTCCATAAACATGCTATGCACACTCCTATCTCACTCCTTCCCTCAAGTTATTATCTCTGCCTAGAGTCTTTTCCTCCACCCTCACTTAGGAAAGTCCCGTTCCTTTATACCTAAGGGTATCAGGTACTCCATTTATTATTCATGAGAGTACTCTCATTTGTTTTTTTAAAAAATAAATTTATTTATTTATTTATTTATTTTTGGCTGCATTGGGTCTTCATCGCTGCGTGCAGGTTTTCTCTAGTTGCTGTGAGCGGGGGCTACTCTTCGTTGCAGTGTGCGGGCTTCTCATTGCAGTGGCTTCTCTTGTTGAGGGGAACACGGGCTCTAGGTGCACAGGCTTCAGTAGTTGTGGCACGCAGGCTCTACAGCACAGGCTCAGTAGTTGTGGTGCACGGGCTTGGTTGCTCCGCGGCCTGTGGGATCTTCCTGGGCCAGGGCTCGAATCCATGTCCCCTGCATTGGCAGGCGGATTCTTAACCACTGCGCCACCAGGGACGCCCTCTCATTTGGTTTTTAAGAGCAATTTGACATTTTAACTATCAAAATTTAAAGTGCATATATCCTTTGACACTCATTCTATTTTAGGAATTTGTCCTGAGGAAATACTTGCATATGTGTGCAAAGATATGTACAAGGGGACTTCCCTGGTGGCGCAGTGGCTAAGAATCCGCCTGCCAATGCAGGGGACATGCGTTTGAGCCCTGGTTCGGGAAGATCCCACATGCCACGGAGCAACTAAGGCCGTGCGCCACAACTACTGAGCCTATGCTCTAGAGCCCATGAGCCACAACTACTGAGCTCACGTGCCACAACTACTGAAGCCCCCATGCCTAGAGTACATGCTCTGCAACAAGAGAAGCCACTGCAATGAAAAGCCCGTGTGCCACAACGAAGACCCAACGCAGCCAAAAATAAATAAAATAAATAAATTTATTAAAAAAAAATAGATATACGTACAAGGATGCTCATTGATAATGAGCATCTTTGTTGATAATGGTAATAAATTTGAAACAATTTAAATTAACAGGAAATAGTTAAATATATTACAGTAGGTCATACTAGAAAATACTCTGCAGCCTTTAAGGAAGATGACATGCTGTATACACTGGCATGGTGATATGTTAATATATATTGTTAAGATATTAGGCTATTGTATTTTATTTTATTTTTTTTTGCGGTACATGGGCCTCTCACTGTTGTGGCCTCTCCCGTTGTGGAGCACAGGCTCCGGACGCACAGGCTCAGCGGCCATGACTCACGGGCCTAGCTGCTCCGCAGCATGTGGGATCTTCCTGGACTGGGGCACGAACCCGTGTCCCCTGCATCGGCAGGCAGACTGTCAACCACTGCGCCACCAGGGAAGCCCTAGGCTATTGTATTTTAAAAGTTATTTTAAAACTTCCAGTAGGGCTTCCCTGGTGGCAAAGTGGTTAAGTATCCGCCTGCCAATGAAGGGGACACAGGTTCGAGCCCTGGTCCAGGAAGACACCACATGCCGCGGAGCAACTAAGCCCGTGCGCCACGGCTGCTGCTGCGCTCTAGAGCCCACGAGCCTCAGCTACTGAAGCCCGCACACCTAGAGCCTGTACTCTGCAACAAGAGAGGCCACTGCAATAAGAACCCTGTGCGCCGCAGCGAGGAGTAGCCCCCACTTACTGCAACTAGGGAGGGCCCGTGCACAGCAACAAAGACCCAACTCAGCCATAAATAAATAAATAAATAAATTTACAAGAAGAAAAAAAAAACTTCCAGTAGAAGGCAGCAAATTGAACACAAATATATATATATATGTATCTTCTCTCCTCTGAGACTGTTTAATTAAAAGTTGGGAAGAAAAAAAAGACTCAACAACAGAGAGCACATTAGGAAGATTATCAGCAAGGAAAACCTTTCTACTTGCATCTGGAGGACAGAAAGTCCATGCAGAAGTGATGATTGAAAGAAGAGAACTGAGAAAACTCAAGAAGAAACTTTCTCTCCCTCACCATCTCCACTGCTACCCGCTCCCCTCCAGTCTAAGCAACTGTCATCCTTTTTTAAGCAGTGTCAAAGTGAATGCTTCAATGACTGTTGCTGTCTCTCACTCAGATTATAATAGTCTTCTAACTATATTTCAGAACCTTGGTTCTATGTTTCTCCCTCCAGCATATAAACTCTATGAGGACACGGATTGCGTCTACTTTGTTTTTTTTTTTCCTTTTGGCTGTGCCACGCGGCTTATGGGATCTTAGTTCCCCAACCAGGGACTGAACCCGGGCATCAGCATTGAAAGCGTGGAGCCCTAACCACTGGACAGCCAGGGAATTCCCTGTTCACTATTTTATCTATCACTATTTTGTTCTAGGCCTAGAACAAAAGTGCTCAATAAGTATTTGGCGATTCCATGAATAAATGAATGAGGGTAGATGCTAGAAGACTTTAAATTTATAAACTCATGTACTCTTTAAAAAGTTTTACAGCGACTTCCCTGGTGGCACAGTGCTTAAGAATCTGCCTGCCAATGCAGGAGACACAGGTTCAAGCTCTGGCCCAGGAAGACTGCCACATGCTGTGGAGCAACTAAGCCCGTGCGCCACAACTACTGAGCCTGTGCTCTAGAGCCCGCGAGCCACAACTACTGAAGCCCACGCACCTAGAGCCCATGCTCCACAACAAGAGAAGCCACTGCCATAAGAAGCCTATGCACCACAACGAAGAGTAGGCCGCACTCACCGCAACTAGAAAAAGCCTGCGCGCAGCAACAAAGACCCAACACAGCCAAAAATAAATAAATAAAAATTTAAAAAAGAAAAAGTTTTACAAAACATGCATTGTTTTTCTAATAAAAAGAATAAAGTCAAATAAACTAATTAAAATAGTGCTATCCTTTTTTCAAGAGGCTGTTAAGGTCAATCTTCTCAGTATAACCTTATCTGACAACAAAGATCATCTTCAAATTTTGGAGAAATGGAAGCCAGGAAAGCCCAGGTAATTTCCCCAAAGTCACATGTAAAATAGAAGAGGTAGGATTTGAAACCAGATTTGACTTTAGAGAGCTTACTCTTGACTGCTATGTTATGCTATCTCCCTAGCTGAATCAGAGCTATTAGTAGGTGGGGCACGATGATTATTAGTACATGGTAGACATTCATAATCCCTGAGGAACTGCATTTAAACGTGGCTCCCTAGGGTCACGCCTGTCTTACTTCAAGGGTTACTTACTGCTCCTTTCATTCTGTGCAGGAGCTCATACATTCGGATGCAGCCTTCCACTTTGATCCCCTGGGAGGACTGAAGTACCATAGGTTCTGTATGCTGAGACTCATATTTGTCCTATACAGACAGAAGATGGAAAAATTAAGCTTTTAAGACGGTAGAGTTGGTGTTACTCAATCTGAACAAAAATCACATCCTTACTTACGAACAACCAGTAACAAAAACAAAACAATATATGTTAGAACCAGTGTGCTTTTCATGATATTGACCTTATTCTAATTGGTTTCCTTAATACAGTGGATGTTTTTGCTTTGTACAGTTTTGTGTGTGTGTGTTTTTTTGTTTTTGTTTTTTTGCTTGCTCCTTTGTTTTGATTTGTCCAGCACATTTTCCCCATTTCTTCTAATAAGTGTCCGTTTTTGCTGGGTTGGTTTGGATGGAGAAACCCCAGCCCACATCCCCGATTCTTCCACGCCCCCTAGTGTCAGGGGTCACTAAGCATGTGACCAGCCTGGCAATCAAAGTATTCTATCCCCTTGTACCCAGCATCTACTTCAGGAATGAGGCCTATAACCTAAGCTAAGCCAGAGTCCATCTCTGAATTTTCCTGATGGAGCTATGTGGGATGGCTTTCTCTTATTCTGGGGATGCTAAGCTAAGAAGATATGTGTCTAGGGCTACCAAGAGACATCCTGCCAGACTGTCTACCTGAAAGATGAAACCAAGACGCGTTAGACAGAACTGAGAAATGGAGAAGCAAAGCCCTGGGTCTGAGTCACTGAATCAAGTGAGAAATAATATCAAGGACAGACAAGCAGAAAATAGATCCTCTAGATCTAATTGATTCGAAATGCACTCCTAGATTTCCTGGTTATATGAGCGAATTAATTTCTCCCCTGGCTCCCTTGCTTTGCTTAAGCTAGTTTAAACTGGGTTTCTGTTACTTAAACACCAAAAATTTGTAAATGATACAATTCATTACATAAAGCCATCCAAAACTTTACTTAAACCTTAAGAATTACGGAATTTTATACCTGGAGAGGACCTTGGCAATTTAGTCCAGTACCAGATTTACAGTTGAAGAAACTGAGGCCTAAGGAGGGAAAGACGCCTGCTTGAGGGCATGCCACACTATTGGCAGGATCAGAACTAGAAACTGCTGCCTCTGAGAAGCTGCTCATAGAAACTTAAATTTTTTTTTTAATTTTGAAATAATTATAATTTACAGGAAGTTGGAAACAGTAAATTGACGGTACGAGCCACAGAACTTATTCAGACTTCAACAGGTTTTACAGGAATTCATTTGGGTACGTGTAGAGTTTTATGCAATTTTATCACATGTGTAACCACCATCATAAAGTACAGAACTGTTCCATCACCATGAAGCTTCCTTGTGCCACACCTTTATATCGTTAATCTGTTCTCCATCTCTATAATGATAGCATTTCAAGAATGTTAAATAAATGGAACCATATAGCACATAATCTTTTGAGATTGCCTTTTTTCACTTCGTATAATGCCTCTGAGATCCTAAGTTGTTGCATCTTACCAAGGACTTGTTCCTTTTTATTGCCAGTAGTATTCCATGACAGAGATGTACCAGTTTGTTTAACCATTCAACTGTTGAAAGACATTTCACTGTTTCCAGCTTGGGGATATAATAAATAAAGCTCCTATGATCACTGGTATATAGGTTTTTATGTAAATATAAGTTCTGATTTCTCTGAGAAAAATGCCCAAGAATGCAACTGCTAGGTCATATAGTTAAGTACCTATTTAGTTTTATAAGAAACTGCCAAACTGTTTCCTAGAGTGCCTGTACCATTCCACATTTCCACCCAAAATATATGAGTGATCCAGATTCTCCACATCACTGTCAGCATGTGGTGGTGTCACTATTTTTTATTTTAACCATATTCTGATAGGTGTGCAGTGCTACTTCGTCCTGGTTTTAATTTGCATTTCTTTAATGGCTAATGATTGTGAACATATTTTCATGTACTTATATTGTCTATATATTGTCTTAGGTGAAATGTCTGTTCATATCTTTTGCTCATTTTCTAATTGAAGATTAGAAAGTTTTTGTTTAACCTTTGAGTTTTAAGAGTTTTAAAAATATATTCTAAATATATATTCTCGATATATATTTTAAATATATTCTAGATACATAAACCTTTGTCAGATACGTCATTTGCAACTACTTTCTCCCAGTCAGTAGCTTGTCTCATCATCCTCTTCACAAGGTCATTCACTGAGCCAAGCTTTTCATTTGATGAGGTCCAATTTACTAATTTTTCCTTCTATGGATTAAGTTTTTGTTTTGTTTTGTTTTTGTTTTTTTGCGGTACGTGGGCCCCTCACTGTTGTGGCCTCTCCTGCCGCGGAGCACAGGCTCCGCGCAGGCTCAGCGGCCATGGCTCACGGGCCCATCCGCTCCGCGGCACGTGGGATACTCCCGGACCGGAGCACAAACCCGCGTCCCCTGCATCGGCAGGCGGGCTCTCAACCACTGCGCCACCAGGGAAGCCCGATTAAGTTTTTAGTGTCAAATCTAAAAACTCTTCACCTAGTCCTAGGTTCTGATTATGCTTTTTTTTTTCCCTAAAAGTCTTATAGTTTTACATTTAAGTTCATGATCATTTTGAGTTAATTTTTATGTAAGTTGTAAAGTTTAGGCTAAAGTTCATTTTTTTTTTTTTTTTTTTTTTTTTTGCAGTACACGGGCCTCTCACTGTTGTGGCCTCTCCAGCTGCAGAGCACAGGCTCCGGACGCGCAGGCCCAGCGGCCATGGCTCACGGGCCCAGCCGCTCTGCAGCATGCGGGATCCTCCCGGACCGGGGCACAAACCCGTGACCCCTGCATCGGCAGGCGGACTCTCAACCGCCGCGCCACCAGGGAAGCCCTAAAGTTCATTTTTGTGTCTATGATGTTCAATTGCTAGAAATATTTTTTAAAGACTAATATTTTAAAAGATGAAGTGTGAAATATAAACTAAAAAGTAAATTTTTATGTATGTAATCATGCAGTCTTTCATAATATGAATAATCATCTCTGTCCTGTATTATTTTTTAGGATTATTATTTACTGTACAATAAATTCTTTCTTATTGTGAACAACTCTTGCAAAGACATTTCTCCAAAGAAGATATACAAATGGCTAATAAGCACATGAAAATATGCTCAACATCACTAATCATTTAGGGAAATGCAAATCAAAACCACAATGATACACTTCATGCCCACTAGGATGGCTTTTGTAAGACAAAACAAAATAAAAACAAACAAACAAACAAAAACAACCCAGCAAATAACAAATGTTAGCAAAGGTGTGGAGAAACTGAAACCCTTGTGCGTTGCTAGTAGGAATGTAAAATGATACAGCTGCTGTGGAAAACAATATGATGGTTCTTCAAAAATTTAAACATAGAATTACCATATGATTCATCAATTCTACTTCTGGGTACATACCCCAAAGAACTGAAAACAGGTACTCAAACTAATACATGTACATGCGTATTCAGAGCAGCACTAGTCACCAACAGCCAAAAGGTGGAAGCAAGCTAAACGTCCAGGGACAGATGAATGAATAAACAAAACGTGGTACACACAGTGGAGTATTATTCAGCCTTAAAAGGAAGGAAATTCTGACACATGCGACAACATGGATGAACCTTGAAGACATTATGCTAAGTGAAATAAACCAGTCACAAAATGACAAATATTACATGATTCCACTTATATGAAGTACCTAAAATGGTCAAATTCATAGAGACGGAAAGTAGAATGGTGGTTGCTAGGGACTGGGGGTAGGGGGAAATAAGGAGTTATTTATTTATTTATTTATGGCTGCATTGGTCTTCATTGCTGCGCGCGGCCTTTCTCTAGTTGTGGTGAGCAGGGGCTACTCTTCGTTGTGGCACACGGGCTTCTCATTGCGGTGGCTTCTCTTGTTGTGGAGCATGGGCTCTAGGCGCACGGGCTTCAGTAGCTGTGGCATGCGGGCTCAGCAGTTGTGGCTCGCGGTCTCAGTAGTTGTGGCTCGCAGGCTCTAGAGAGCAGGCTCAGTAGTTGTGGCACACAGGCTTAGCTGCTCCATGGCATGTAGGATCTTCCCACATCAGGGATCAAACCCGTGTCCCCTGCCTCAGCAGGCGGATTCTTAACCACTGCACCACCAGGGAAGTCTTGGAGTTATTGATTAATGAATATAGTGTTTTTACTTCTGGATGATGAAAAAGTTCTGGAGATGGATAGTGGTGACGATTACACAACACTATGAATGTACTTAATGCCACTGAATTGTACTCTAAAAAATGGTTAAATGGTAAATTTTATGTCATGAATATTTTACAATTTAAAAAAAGGTTTAAAATTAAAAAAAAAATGTTCATACCCTTTTATCTTTGATGCCAGTCAAATCATTTGGGCATTTATTTTAAGATATTAGCCAGAAGACATATTTTAAGATTAAAAATGGAAAAATCTCTCTGCAGAAAGTTTCTCAGTGTAATATCTTTAAAAGCAATGAAATGGAAAAATATAAATGCCTAATAATAAAGGAGCAGTTTAATAAATTACAGGATATTACATACCCTCTAAGTAGACATTTACAAAGGTGGAAATAACGTGAACAAATAATTCAAATAGTTCATGAACAAAATAAAGTTAGGAAGGAAAAGCAGAACATGAAAGTGCACATACAATTTAATTATGCCAAGATACAAGGATGCAGGCATATGAAACTGGAAAGAAGTAACTGATGACTGAAATGATGAAACCACAGGGAGATTTAACTTCTTCCTTTTGTTGAATTGATAATATATTTTCAGTAAAAAGTCTGCAGTGAGTATGAACACAAAGAACAAAGAACTTTGTCTTTTGGAAGCTAAACGTGAAAAATGTAATCTCTACCTTTCTAAAGAGTTGCCTAGTCTTATTTTGCTGGCACAAAAATCTAAAACTTGAAAAAGCACAGTAGTGCTTAGAAGTTTAGAAGACTTTTTTTCTATTAACTCTTGTTATACTACTTGTTATACCTTACTTTGATCCAGAAAGGATTTAATGCACCTTATAAAGGAACATAAAACATAACAACAGGACTTCCCTGGTGGTGCAGTGGTTAAGAATCCGCCTGCTGGTGCAGGGGACATGGGTTTGAGCTCTGGTCCAGAAGATCCCACATGCCGTGGAGCAACTAAGCCTGTGCACCACAACTACTGAGCCTGCACTCTAGAGCCTGCAAGCCACAACTACTGTAGCCCGCGTGCCTAGAGCCTATGCTCCGCAACAAGAGAAGCCACTGCAATGAGAAGCCTGCACACCGCAACGAAGAGTAGCCCCTGCTCATTGCAACTAGAGAAAACCCGTGTGCAGCAACTAAGACCCAACGCAGCCATAAATAAATAAATAAATAAATACGTCTAGAGACACAAAGAAAGAGAAAAGAGAAGAGCAGAGCCCCAGCAACAATTTAACTGTGTTAAGTGGGAGAAACAAAGGCAGGAACAAAATAGAGCCAGAAAGAAGGTAAAAACTCATACAGAAGCAACAATAAGGTATGTAAATCTAAGAGCAGGTATAAAATTTACTCTAAGCTTTCCAGCAGCCAATAACAAAAAGGGAGACCTTGTTGAGTTAAACAGATGCAATGCTCATGAGAAAAAAATCCACTTGCTCATGAAATTAATTACTATTCTTGGTACTAAGAATAGAGAGGAATTTCTCTCTCTGGGTCTTCATAAAGAGAACGCTGGGTGATGTGGAAAACACTGTCGCTACAAACAGCTACAAGAATTCGAAGAAGCAACCATTATTTTCTCCAGAGTAAGGTCACTGTAGTATGACAATGTTAAACACTTCAATTTTGCAGCCACCATTGTCTTTTGTCTTAAGCTGATCAAAAGCCTTACCGTGGTTCCATTTGGTGTTGCTGAGGAGGCTGGTGAGAAGGCAGGGTCTCCGACAGGAGATTTGGGAACAAATGAAGGTTGGCCGAGGGCTGAAGTAGATCTAGGGGATGCTGAAGTCTCAGAGGGAGGTGGGTTCTCTTGCATATGGGGTAGGACATGATCTACTACCCATCCAGAGTAAGAAGACAGCTTGGGCAGAGACATACATTCTTCTAAAACATCCTAGAGGGAAGAAGAAGGTTAAGCTCAACTTGAATGTCAACTGATCTAAGCAATCAAAAATAATTTTGTCCTTATAATCCACTACATGCTTTACTGAAAATCTGAGAAGGCCTAAATAAATATATACATACATACATACCAAAGACCCAAAGTAACTGTATTAACAATCAGAGATGAAGAGAAAGTACAGTAGCTTCTTGATAATGACCTTGACTATTATCCTTTTGGAGTATCAGACTAAATAACCCTAACTACAGAAAAAGGAACAATGCACAAAGATGGTCATTAAAGCAGATTTGAAAGCAATCTAAAACGCTGTAACAGAAAAGAACATGAAAGGAATTTTGAAGTAAACTATGGTATACACACTCAGTGAATATTAGTCATTTAAAAATGCCAATTGTGAATCCTATGTAAGGTTCAAATTTTTCCAGTTTTATTGAAAAATAATTGACATACACCACTGTAAAAGTTTAAGGTGTAAACACAATGGTTTGATTTATATATATTGTAAAATGATTAAATAGGTTCAGCTAACAACATCCATCTTCTCATGTAGATATAATCAAAAGAAAGAAAACAAGGAAAAAAAATTCTTCTTGTGATGAGACTCTCAGCAGGTACTCTCTTAACTTTCCTATATATGGTATAGCTGTGTTAGCTAACAGTCATCAAGTTGTATATTACATCCCTAGTACTTACCTATCTTATAACTGGAAGTTTCTATTTTTTGACGACCTTACTCCATTTCCTCCTCCCCCAAGATTCAATTTTAAGTGAAAAAACAAGAGTATAAGTAACTATGTCTACAATGATATAAAATAAATACAAATAAATACCCTAACAAATTTGAAAGAAATATACCAGAAGTTAAGCTTGGGTGATCAGTGACATATTTCTACTTGTTCTAATTTTCTGTATTTAATTTCTAAATGAACACGTTACACTTTTTTAAATGAAAATAAGCAAATAAAAAATAGGCATAGAAAAGTGCTTACTAGGGACTTCCCTGGTGGTGCAGTGGTTAAGAAGCCACCTGCCAATGCAGGGCACATGGGTTTGATCCCTGGTCCGGAAGATCCCACACGCTGTGGAGCAACTAAGCCTGTGCACCACAACTACTGAGTCTGCACTCTGGAGCCCGTGAGCCACAACTACTGAAGCCCGCGTGCCTAGAGCCCGTGCTCCACAACAAGAGAATCCACCACAATGAGAAGCCCGCACACTGCAAAGAAGAGTAGCCCCCCCGCTCGCAGCAACTAGAGAAAGCCCGCACACAGCAACAAAGACCCAACACAGCCAAAAGTAAATAAATAAATTAATTAATTAAAAAGAAATGTGGTTACTGATGTAAGAGCCAATGGCTTAAATAAAATAGGTTCTACAATATAAAGACCATAAAACAAGTCCCAGACACTCCCCAATATGTGTGTGGAGTTGTTCAACTGCACCAGTTATCTATTATCTCTATATGTTTGGTGTACAGTGCTCTAAACCAAAGAAATGTATACCATTTAACTGTACTTAAATTATACAGCAAATTTTGGCTGAGAACTTTACTCAATGTCAGGAAAATAATATCAGGAAACATGGAAAAACAATATAATAGTGATTAAGAGTCTTGAGTTTGGAACTAGCCTTTCTTGGTTTGAATTCTATCTCTGTATTCCACTTACCTGTATAACCATGGGCAAATTACCTAACCTCTCTGTGCCTAAACTTCATTTCTTCTGAAATGGAATAATAGGGGATCTACCTCAAAACGTTTGGGGAGAATTAAATGAGTAATAGATATAAAGAACACAGCACAGTACCTGGCACATAATAACTACTCAAAAATCACAAGCTATTACGTTACGTACTTCAGTGGTTCTCCAGCAGGGACAATTTTACACCCCAGATGACACTGGGTAATGCCTGGAGAAATTTTTGGTTGTCACAACTGGGAGGATACAACTGACATTTACTGGGTAGAGGCCAGGGATGCTGTTTAACACCCTACAATGTCCAATACAGCGACAGCAGCCCCTACCACAAAGAATTATCTGGCTGAGCCCAAAATGTCAATGATGCTGCGGTTGAGAAATACTGATCTAGAGTGTGTATACGATAAACAGATATTCAACCCATGGGGAATAATCTAGACATAGAAGCAAACAGGCTGTATGCACACTTTATACAGTGACAAGACTCATTTTAAAGACATATTGGAAATAATGTTGAGACAACAACTTTTTTTTTTAAACTGAAGTGTAGTTGATTTACAATGCTGTGTTATTTTCTGGTACACAGCAAAGTGATTCAGATACACATACCTGAATATATATATGTACTTTTCCATATTCCTTTCATTATGGTTTATTACAGGATATTCAATATAATTCCCTGTGGTATACAGTAGGGCCTTGTTGTTTATCTATTTCATATATAGTAGTCTGCTAATCCCAAACTCCTAATTTATCCCTCCCACCACCCCCTTTCCCTTTTCCTCTTTGGTAACCATAAATTTGTTTTCTATGTCTGTGAGTCTGTTTCTGTTTTGTAAATAAGTACATTTGTGGGCTTCCCTGGTGGCTCAGTGGTTTAAGAATCTGCCTGCCAATGCAGGGGACACGGGTTCGAGCCCTGGTCCGGGAAGATCCCACATGCTGTGGAGCAACTAAACCCATGCGCCACAACTACTGAGCCTGCGTTCTAGAGCCCGCGAGCCACAACTACTGAGCCCATGTGTCACAACTAGTGAAGCCCGCGCACCTAGAGCCCATGCGCCACAACTACTGAGCCTGCGCTCTAGAGCCCCCAAGCCACAGCTACTGAGCCTGTGTGCCACAACTACTGAAGCCCGTGCGCCTAGAGCCCATGCTCTGCAACAAGAGGAGCCACCGCAATGAGAAGCCCACGCACCACAATGAAGAGTAGCCCCCACTCGCCGCTACTAGAGAAAGCCCACGCGCAGCAATGAAGACCCAACGCAGCCAAAAAAAAAAAAAAAAAAGTTCATTTGTATCATATTTTAGATTCCACTTGTGGTATCATATGGTATCTGTCTTTCTCTTTCTGGATTACTTCACTTAGTCTGATAATGTCTAGGTCCATCCATGTTGCTGCAAATGGCATTATTTCATTCTTTTTTATGGCTGAGTAGTAGTCCATTGTATACATATACCACATCTTCTTTATCTATTCATCTGTCAATGGACATTTAGGTTGCTTCCATGTCTTGGCTATTGTAAATAGTGCTACTAACAACATTGGGGTGCATATATCTTTTCAAAAGGGAAGCCTCATACACTGGGGTGCAGTGTATGAGGCTTCCCTTTTCTACACAACCTCTGCAGCATTTATTATTTGTAGACTTTTTAATGATGGCCATTCTGACCAGCGTGAGGTCAGTGTAGTTCTGATTTGCATTTCTCTGATAATTAGCGATGTTGAGCATCTTTTCATGTGCCTATTGGCCACCTGTATGTCTTCTTTCGATAAATGTCTTCTGCTCATTTTTGGAATGGGTTGTTTGTTTTTGTTATTGAGTTGTATGAGCTGCTTGTATATTTTGGAAATTAAGCCTTTGTCGGTTTCATCGTTTACAAATATTTTCTCCTAGTCTGTAGGTTGTCTTTGTTTTGCTTATGGTTTCCTTTGCTGTGCAAAAGCTTGTAAGTTTGATTAGGTCCCATTTGTTTATTTTTGCTTTATTTCTATTGCCTTGGAAGACTAAGAAAACACTGCTATGATTTATGTCAGAGAATGTTTTGCTTATGTTTTCCTCTAGGAGTTTTATGGTGTCATGTCTTATATTTCTTTAAGCCATTTTGAGTTTATTTTTGTGTATTCTGTGAGGAAGTGTTCTAACTTCATTGATTCATGTGCAGCTGTCCAAATTTCCCAACACCCTTCTGAAGAGACTGTCCTTTCTCCATTGTATATTCTTGCCTGCTTTGTTGAAGATTAATTGTCTGTAGGTGTGTGGGTTTATTTATGGTCACTCTATTCTGTTTCATTGATCCATATGTCTGTTTTTGTCCCAATACCACGCTGTTTTAATTACTGTACCTTTGTTGTATTGTCTAAAGTCTGGGAGGGTTATGCCTTCAGTTTTGTTCTTTTTCCTTAGGATTACTTTGGCAATTCTGGGTCTTTTGTGCTTCCATATAAATTTTAGGATTACTTGTTCTAGTTCTGTGAAAAATGTCATGGGTAATTTGATAGGGATTGCAATAAACCTGTAGATTGCTTTGGGTAGTATGGCTATTTTAATAATACTAATTTTTCCAATCCAAGAGCATGGAATATCTTTCCATTTCTTTGAATCATCTTCAATTTCCTTTCCTTTATCAGTGTTTTACAGTTCTCAGAATATAAGTCTTTCACCTCCTTGGTCAAGTTTATTTCTAAGGTTTTTTGGGGGGGGGGGGGGGGGATTTTAAAAGGGTTTTTTTTAAAAAAAACTTTCCCTTTCTGATATTTCATTGTTAGTGTAAAGAAATGCAACAGATTTCTGTATGTTAATCTCATATCCTGCTACCTTGCTAAATTTATCAGTTCTAGTAGTTTTTCTGTGGAGTCTTTAGGGTTTTCTATAGATAGTACCATGTAATCTGCATATAATAACAATTTTACCCCTTCCCTTCTGATTTGGATACCTTTCTATTTATTTCCCTTGTCTGACTGCTGTGGCTGGGACTTCCAATTCTATATTAGATTAGGAGTGGTGAGAGGGGGCATCCTTGTCTTGCTCCAGATTTTAGCAGGAAGGCTTTCAGCTTTTCACCACCACTGAGTATTGTGTTGGCTGTGGGTCTGTCCCACAATAAAAGTAGCTTTTATTATGTTGAGATATGTTCCCTCTACACTCACTTTGGGAAGAGTTTTTATCATGAAAGGATGATAAGGATGATAAGGATGATAAGGATGTTTTAAGGATAAGGATGTTTTACTCTTTCTCTACGCCAAAATAAATTCCAGGAGCAAAGTTTCAAATGTAAAAAATAAACCCATAGCCATAAAAACCACCATCAACGGAGAAAACAATTTCAACTGACAAACTAGAAAAAAAGATACAATATATATCACAGATAAAGGAATATTAGTATCCTTAATACATAAAGAACTTATAAAATATTGGCAAAACCCCAACAGAAAAATGAGCAAAAGACATAAACTGGCAAATATACACACACAAGGTTACAAGTAGTGGATCACAACTCACTGAATGAAATAGGAACCCATGAGGATTCTGATATGAATAATTAAATGGAAGGGGAAAAAAAGCTCTTTCTTGCTGTAGAATGCCAGCTAACAAACGTAGGAATGGTAGCTATAAAGAAACACCATTCGTCTACATCACAGACAAGACTGACTCAGGAAGAAATCACCAATAAATGCTAAGGGTGGAGGTTTGATAAGAAAAAAATATTTTGGTGTAACCTTGGACTACCTCCCAACAAAATACTAAGAAGTTACAAAAGGGAAAATGATGAATTTTAAGTGAATTTTACGTGGAAATATCTGGAAGTTACCATTGTAACCAAGTGATCAAGGTGAGCATCACCAGTGTTGGGATGGGCTGAAGCATCTATGTGTGACTGATGTGACTTACTGAGAACACAGCATCATTTCTGTGGTATTCCTGCCAAGAATGCATAACCTGAGTCTACACCATACAGATTCATGCTGGAATTCATCCTATAGAATGTAACGTATGTATTCTTTAAAACCGTCAAAGACATAAAGACAGAAATGCTTTAGAAGTGTTTCACATTTAAGTTTGAAGAGACAAGACATCATACCTGTAGCTAGATTACAGCAACTCGGGAAGAGGAGTTATGCCTTAACTGTCTCTATATTCCCCCACCTGCGCGGTCTAGTACAGGGCTTTGCGAATCTTAGATGCAGTGACCACGCCCCCATTAAAGTTCCCAGGTCCGTCCAACGTCGTCTAAAAATGTTGTCATTTCACTGGCAGCAATAGGTTAGGTCCTGTTAACCGTTCACCACTAAATCTGGATCTCCTAACACAAGAGACGCGCAGTAAACTAACTGACCCTGAGAGGCCAGGATTGCTTTGACAACATAGGCGCAGGCACCTAACGCCAGCTGCGGGGAGCAATGAAGCCTTCAAAGAGCACCTCTGAAGGGGAGCTCCACGGAAGGCTAGAATAGGCGAGAGACGGTGATGCACACACGGGAGTCAAGCAGCAAACCCGGGCTGTTACAAGAACGCACGGGTTCTCGGCGCAGGACATGCCAAGGGCTAGGGAAGAGCAAGAGTCCCGTGACGAGGGGCAGGAAGGACCACCGCCCCCTTTGGGGCCACTGCTCACCTCGCCCCGCAGCAGCCAATCGCGGTGGTAGCAAATGCGACCTTTGTCAGACCTGCGCAGCGCCTGCAGGGTCTCCCAGCAGCGACCCTCGGAAGGCATGGCCTGCCCCGCTACAGTTCTCCAGGGGCGCCGCTTGGGACAAAACAAATCCTCGAATCAGCCTACCGGAAACAGGTGCTCGCTTCCGCTTCCGGGGCGCACACGTAGTGGCGCAGTTCAACCCCGCCCCTAACGGCTGCATGGCCCCGCCCCCGGCGCTGAGCCCGCCCACCAACGCGCCTGTGCACAGGGCTTGGCCCGAGGCTCGCTCCCCTGCAGGGACCTCCGACCTGGGGGCTTCAGAAGGCCGGGCCTTCCAGGTTGCAGAAAACTGAATAGGTATTGATGAGCATGTGGAGAAATTGGAACCTTCATACATACGCTGCCAGTGGGGCTCTAAAATGGGTCAACTCCTGTGGAAGACAGTCTGGCTGCTCATCAAAAGGTTAAAGAGGGACTTCCCTGGCAGTGGTTAAGACTCGTGCGCTTCCACTGCAGGGGCCACGGGTTCCATCCCTGGTCGGGGAATTAAGATCCCGCCTGCCTGCGGCCGAAAATAAAGTTACCATTAACCCAGCAGTTCTACTAAATATATACGCAAAAGAAATGTGTCCACAAAAAACTGGTAGAGTATTGAATTACTTGTAACAGCCAAAAAATGGAAACACATGTGTTCGTCAACCAATGAGTCAATAAAATATGGTGTATCCACACAATGGGATATTATTGGGCCATAAAAATGAAGTACAAATACACACTACGACATGAACCTTGAAAACATCGTGCTGAAAGAAGCCAGTCACAATATGGTATGATTTATGTGAAATGTCCAGAGTAACAAAGCCAGAGAAACAGAGACTGTTAGTGGTTGCCAGGGGCTGGGGGGAGGGGAATGGGGAGCAGCTGCTAATGGTATGGGTTCCACTGGGCTGTGATGACAATGTTCGAGAATTAGATAAAGGTGGTGGTCGCACAACTTTGAATATACTAAAAGCCACTGAATTGTACACTTTAAAAGAGTGAATTTTATGTGAATTATATCTCAGTAAATGAAATGTTCACCATTGCCTGAGGCCAGCTTTAACTAGGACCCTTTAACTTTTGGCCCTTTTGCCCATTTCATGGGATCTCAGTCTGAGGCAGAAAGGAAAACGCTCGAGTTTGAAGCAATATAAACATTTTCCACAAACTCTCTGGACTTTTTGGAATACAACATTTTACGAAGAAAAATAGAACACTCTTGGGAGAATCCCAGCAATGGACTGGAAAAGAGGTGTTTCCCGCACCATCATTACAAATAGCAGAACCCTGCACTGAGGAGGTTGTCATTAGTTTGACAAACTAATGAAATGACAAACTACACAGAAATGTATGTACATTGGTGTAAGTTTGCCAACTTTTTTCTTAGGAAGAGCTTTCATACATTGTATGAAAGTTCAAGTCTATTTATGTTAAGGGTGTGAAAATAGGCTTGGTTTTGTGGCAGTGGTAGCTGGTAGTAGTGATTTCAGTGACCTTCCTTGGCAAAATTAAAAGCTGGAAATAAAATTTAAAACAAAACAAACAAACAAAAAAACCCAAAACATTGAAAGCTGGAAACTACGCATGTCTCCAAAACAGGGGGATGGGGGGGCAGGGGCGGTTCTGGTAGTGGAATCCAGATGCCTGGCTGGGAGCCACTGCTTTTGAGGACATAGGGGAACTCTTGGACTTGGGTTACAGTGGCTGAGAGAGGACCAGATTGGATCACCCAGAGGTCAGTACCAGCATAGTACACCAAATTTGTTCTCTTCTCTCTGAAGAATTTTTTTTTCTTTTAAATACAGGAAAATGTGAAGAGAACAAAAATAGCCCATAATCTTATCATCGAAAGCAATTAACATTAAAAAAAATAGTAATACATACACATCCCATCTTCCTCCTAACAGCTAAAGTAGGCTGCCCTCACACAATGAGCAGTGCCCTTCAGTGTGTCTCCTCCAGGCCTTTCATGGGATTGTAAGTGAAAGCACACAAAGGAGAAAGAGCCAACCTGGCCAAAATGAAATGAGGAGTCTCATGCACCAAGTCCTTTAAAAACGTTTACTGGCTCTCCTGCAGCATTTTACTGAATCATTTTTAGAAGAGGGCTGGGGCGGGTAAAGGAAATCATCCGATGGAGCCTTAAATACTGATTATAAAAGCTTTTTGTAAAACAACACACGTTTCAAGAATAAATGCATTCCACAGATACAAACCTGGCAAAGAGAAAAATCAATGAGATTGGGATTGTATTTTTACAAGGCGAACTGGACATAAGCCCTCGAGTGTCTATTGGCAAGTGCATGAGGGCAAGTGGCCTTGAGGAAACCTGGCCAAGAGAGGTTTCCACTGGGCTTGGGAGGGGAGCACCTTGGGGAAAACACCGTACCCGTGAAATAAGGGAAACAGCAAGTGAACATGAGGAGCGGTGAGGACCTCTGGCGAACAGCTCCTGCTGGTTCAGGTCAGGGAAAACCCAACTAAAAAGAAGAGAGCTGTAAGGGAACTCGAGGGCAAGTCCAGTCCAAACATTCTCTTGGGAAAGGAATGAGCAAAGTCACGATGAGTTACAATCTGACCCTAATAGTAGTAACTTTAAGGCCTGTCAGGGTAATTAAAAACTTCCGTCAGGTGATGCTCTCAGAGAGGAGAGAACGAAGTGGGTTCTGCTTCATCCCCTGCTGCTTCAGGCACTTTCCTGGAGCTAGTAACTAAGACAAGACCCTGAACATACTTCATCACAGGACGAGAGAGGAAAACCAACAGGCTTTCCGGGTATGGCTTAGCAACGCCTCAGTTCCCACGGCATCCATCTGAGCTCCTAGCCCAAGAGTGGCCGCCTTAGACAGGAGGAGACCGGGAGCGGATGGGAGAGCTCGTTAGGTAGGAAGTGTAGGGACCATCCCCAAACACGTTGGCATAGGATGACTTGAGGAACTGGACGTAGTTCTGCATGCTGCGGTTGGTGCTCTCCGACTGCTCCAGGCGGTCTTTCAGGTCTTGCAGGCGGCTCTGGTAGCGGCGGTCAGCCTAAGAGGAGGAACGGGGCCGGGGCCAAGTGTGTGTGACATCCAGAACAGACAAACCCATAGCGACAGAGACTTTATTAGTGGTTGCCAGGGGTTGGGGGCAGGGGAATGGGAGTGGCTGCTAATGGGTAATTTTCTTTCTGAAAATATTCTAAACCTGGATTGTGGTGATAATGGCACAACACTGAATATACTCAGAACCACTGAATTGTGCAATTTGAATGAGGGAATTTGACGGTAAATGCTGTCTTAACAAAACTGTTAAAAAAGGGGGCTGGCCTGGGATATCCTGAAGGGATGGGAAAGTGATGCAAGAAAAATAAAACCATGTCATATTCATAAAAACAACAGAACATCTTGCCCTGCAGGCACCAGGAAGCTCAGATCTCAACCCACTCCCTTCTTGTCTGCTCCTACCCCGTCCTCCCACCCCCAGCCCGACTCACGTCGTCCCGGCTCCGCCGGAGCTGGCTGAGTTCAGTCTTGGTCCTGCTCAGCTGGGCCTCAAGGTCCAGGATTTTGTTCTGGGCTGCTCGCTCCTTGGAGGCTGCGTGCTCCTTGGTTTGTTCCACCTGCTTGAAAGGCACAGACGTGGGGCTGGCTTACCTGGCATGGGGAACACCTGGTAAACAGAAGGCTGGGCCGCTCCCACTAACTGGTCTTGCTTTGGACAATTCTCTGGAGCCTCAGGGCAGGAGCAAACTATGGGGACAACTTCTGCAACCCTGCTTTACCTGCCCTTTGCCAACGCTCCATGAGTCATCACCTAAGACGCGGTACACCTGTCTGATGCCCACTCAGGCAGCAATCAAAGGAGAAGTTGTGAATAAGGTGCCAATTCCTTTACGATAATTGCTCACTTGATCCGTATGATGATTTCATGAGGCAGGTGCTACTTCTATGTGCCCATTTCTCAGATGGAGAGATAGGCTCAGAGAGGTTAGGCGATTGGTCCAAAGACACAGAGATGGGTTAGTAATAGAATTGAGACTGACCTGCCTCCTGGCATCTTCAATGGCGCTCTCCAACTGCCTTGCCAGGGTCCCACATTCCCGGGTTTTCTCCTCTAGTCGCAGCTGGGACTGGTGGATTGCCTCCTCCCTCTTGGCAATCACTTGTAGGAACTCGATATTCTGGGCACTGGTCACCTCCAGTTTCCTAGGTGAAAGCATTCAATCAGATCCTGCTCGTCCCCCTACCTGTCAGGTTCCACACAGCCGGGGGCTGCCAGCCACCCCGGGCTGGGCTTCTCATCACACCAAGAATCTCCAAGGAACAACAGGAATAAACCAAAGAAATCTGCTGAGCAGCAAGGCGGCAAGGAGCTGTACAAAGAGTGGGAGAAGCGCAGACTGACCGCGGCTGTGCTAAGTCTGTATGTCATCACGTGTAATACGGCAACTTGAGGCTCAGGCAGGTGGGTTCCATCATGATTCCCACTTTACAGATGAAGAAACTGAGCCAAAGACAGGTGAAGTCATTGGCTGAGGCCAGCACAGCTAGCAGGTCTGTCACCGAAACCTACGCGCTCAACTTCTTCTGTTCACTGTTGCCTCCCTCAGCAAAGGGACTTCAGCTGCGCCACTCAACATCATACGTGACCAGCCATGGGGCAGCAGTGACCATCCCGTGTGTACACATGGTCCCCGCTGCACTTCCAGGGCACCTTCCAATTTAAGGAGCTCTGCAAGTTCTGCTGAATCCAGCTACACCTTCAAGGCCAGCAGAGTAGAGGTGGAGCCCAGGGGAGACCACCTGCTTTAAGTCCCTGCTGGCAGGCTGTGTGAGCCACCTGGGCCAGTTACAGCCTCCTGGGACCCCAAGCCTTTCACCTCTGAAAACTGAGGCTCCAGCCCTCATTTTACAGATGCTAAAAGCCCTGGAGGAAGACAGTCTAAGTCGCAGCTTTGCCAAGTACCAGCTATGTGACCTTGAGCAAGTCACTTAACCTCTCCCTGAGCTCAGTTTCCTCACATCTAAAATATCAACTCGTATATACTAACCTATATGGCACATTTTTGCATGCCGGGTAGTATGCTAAGCCCTTTGAGGATTATCTCATGGAGGACTCACAATAATCCCATGAGCTGGATTGTTATCCCTACCTTGGTCCCT